CCCCCAAAACCCCAAAACCCCAAAACCCCACAAACATTAATAATAAATCGTAAATGGAAAATATTCTTCATCAATTATAAATAATATATAACTGTCTTATTACTGCATGATAAATAATCATTTTTATAATCTACCTCTTTACCACCAATGAACCATTCGACAGTACAAATAAATATTTAAAATTTCGGCTGGAATAAATCCAAAAGTAAATATTAAGGCGCTTCCTAATGAGCCTATAGCAACAGATAAAGCTATAGATATTGCAAATAATGGTAAAAAGCAAATAACTAGCAAGCAGCATGAAAATGCACTATTAGCCGTTTTAAAAAGATAAAATGGAACTGCCACTCCAAATACGAAACAAATAAAAAATGGCAGCAAAAGCATCATCAACGGAATGAAAATGAAAGTAAAAGCTAAAAAGCAAAATGTTTTCTTCAAAATACACAATTTACCTTTAACTTCAATCATAGAACACTTATAGAAGAAAAAAACCATTTTTTTCGAGTGAATTATATGATTAAAAGGCAATCCACATACCCAGCAAAAATCATGCTAACATTTGTAGCAAGTCATATGATTACATCCTTCATTTTTTTCAATCAAGGTCTTACATTTAGGACATCTTTAAGCACCTTTGCAATCAGCCCAGTTTACACAATTCTTCTCCTAATATTTTTCGCAAGACTCATTTTCATGCCAGATACTTTGGCAATCAAAGCAAACATTATTCTAGCATTTTTAGCATATTGTTTTCTTTTAATTTGCTTTTCTTTCTATAACTCCTTCACATTCTGCTACTGGGCAAAACTTTTTATCTTTCTCAAAAGTCATTTCATGATTTTCAATTAATCTGAGATAACGCTTAAACTCATCCATATCTAGAAGATTTCTAATAACACTGCGTTCAAGAACAGCACTACATTAGCTGCTTGGACATTTTAATTTATGAACTTCCCCAGATTAGTTACTAGCATACAAAATCATTTCTTTCAAGCAAATTTAGCAGTACTAATGATTGCAGTGAAGTTTGATTATGTCAGGAGTTTAAATTAATTCATAGCATATCTCGCATTAAATGTTTTCATCTTAAACCTCAACACAATTTTGAGGAACTTGATCTATTAAGGTCATTTCAATAGGGTGGATTTTGTTATCTTGAAAATTTCCTTGAGGCATTATCTCTCTTTCTGTATAGAAATTGATTTGTTGAGTTTAAATCTTATCTTAAAGATCAAGAGACTTCATAGGCAATTCATTATTATCAATGCATCTAGATTAATTAGTTTCATCATCTGCATTGCCTTCATTGCGAATGTTTTTTTGTGCCTTTTTTATCTTAGTTTCTATATAATGTATTCCAATATTTTCCTATTCTTATTCTGTAACTCTTAGATATTTCATATCAGAATCTATTCCATTTTTTTCAAGGTCAACTTATGAATCTTAATTATTATCAATAACTTCCCAGTTATTAGCTTATAATTCTTAATCTTATTAAGGCATAATACTTCCATTACTTCAATTGTTTATTTTGAATGAAGATGCTTGACTTTAATTAAGCTATTTATGATTTGAAACTTAATTATCCTCTAAATCATCTATGTCTTAGAAGAAATGTTACATTATTATTAAATTTATAAATTTAAACTATTTTTCATTATGAAATGATTTATTCTATGATTTCTATTTTGGATTATTTGAAATTCAGGGGTTTTGGGGTTTTGGGG